TAGGTGAGCACCAGCCAATGAGATTGTCGTTAGCGCATTAGCTCCGCCCACTACAGGAAAACCCGGCAGTTCTTAAAAGCTGAAGAATTCCAAAGGAACTCTGTTATTTTTACAGGAAAATACAACAAAGTATATCGATTACATGTAGCGCATCAATTCTGCAAGTTATGTAAGACTCTCGCTCTTTGCTCACAGTGAGAGAAAGCGACGGCGAGTCGTGCGCTTCACGCTAGAGTTTACGTTACGCCAAACACACAAACACAGGTGTGCTGCGCATCCATTCAGATGAACTGAAACATATCACAGATCGCTTGACGGAGAGAGAAACTCTGAAGCGCTCAGTCAGTGGTCTGTGAGTGAAAATATATCTGTGCTAATCATATACTCCAACTCACACACTGACGAGTACAATCTGAGAATTGATTAGCCATTGTGTGTGTGTGTGTGAGAGAGAGAGTGTGTGTGTGTGTGTGTGTGTGTGTGTGTGTGAGAGAGAGAGTGTGTGTGTGTGTGTAATTCGCACAATCTGGGAAAAAAACTAAATAAATAAAAATTCTCGGATTTGGATCGGCTCTCTCTGACCGATACCCGATCCGAGAAAAATGGCACTATCGGAGCCGATACCCGATATGAATATTGGATCGGCGCATCCCTACTACAAACAGAACCCACAGCCGGGTCAGTCCACTAATAAACACTAGTGTGTGTACAATGGACCAAGAACATGACTGTGGGCCGCCCAAATGCTTCCCAACTCACTGAGTCAACAAAATGGAGCGTCCACAGCACTCAGCACAAGATCCGATTAATTTAACTGGACATCGGCCATGTTTTCTCTTCTTTGAGGGCATTCTGTGCTCAGCGGCGGTGGACTGAAGCACCAGTAACGTTTACAGTAAGGCCCTTCACAACCTCCGTCACCTGCGCAACAAATCTGCAGAAATGAGCGGATTTATCACACTAGATATTTAAAAGATGAAGAGACCTCAGATGAAGATACCCTTTTATAGACGCTTTAATTAAAAGTGACTGCTGAGAACCTTTCTAGCTTGTGTGGAGGAACCCAAGACTCACAAAATTCCCTGGTGGCCCTTCGGACAGGCACTCTTCAGACTTTGGTAGCTCGAAATTAATTCAACTAGCCCCCCTAAAAAAAAAGAAAAAAAAGTGTATATATATATATATATATATATTTTTTTTTAAATACAGAAAATTGGATAGGATCAAAATGTCAACCAAAACATTTTCAAAACACAAATATCAAGGAAGGAATTTACTTTAAGGCTTTTATGACCCTTTTTAAGACCTGCACTATTAAAATTAACGTACGAGCGGGGTAGGACAATGGTAACACATTAAACTGTAAAATGACACGATTCAGACACAGGTTTTCACAAAAACAAAATATCTTATAAAATGATAAACATCACATTTCAGCCTTTAAACCATTTTTAAGAAAAGGGATGACTCAAACGTATAAATTATTATATTAATTTAAAGCATATAAATATATATCATACTTGTCTTAAATTTTAGAAGGCACATTAGCTTAACGGGTCAATATTCGCATTGATCTGAACAAGCAGCAGAAGGCTTACTGAGAATACATATTAATTCTCCGCCACTAGATGGCGCTTTTGGAGCGGCAGAAATAAAGCGGTTTACTCGGTAACGGCTTTACACAAAGCAGCGTTGCGCTCATAAATGCCACTTTATCAGGCATCAGGAAAGATGAAATGAAAATGGCATTCACAGATTTATTCACACAACGAGTGTTTTGACCCTGAAACGTGCAGTGCTAATATTTATTCAAAGAAATCCATGTCGTGATTCTTATCTTTTCATCCCCAAATCTAAGACCTCTTGAAATTATAATACTTTTTTTAATACCTTTTAAGGTATTTAAGAGTTTTCATGATAAAAATTTGATACAACTAAATTGATGACTTTTTAAGGACCTGCGGGAACCCTGTGTTTAAGATGATGGGCAGTGATACATTTTGGGAGCCCGACTGGAAAACAGTAGCCCGTCAGGCTAGCGATACTGTGAGCCCTGGAACCTGAGGTGAATAATCAGTGCTGATCGTCGACACACACAAGACGTCAAAATCATCACTGGCTGCTGGTACTGTAACAGCTCATGTTATTTTGTAACGGCGTGGCACTTTTCATAATTTAGCTTTCATTTTCAAATAACTAAGATGAAGTACAAGATCAGATGAGAGCAGTGCAGCAACACACAACCCACAGCAGACATGCGTCCTGTAAGCAAACACGCAAAAAAAAACAACAACACAATGACTTGAGTGACGTGTTCATGTGTTTATCTCGTCATGATGACTTCACATTCACTGGTGCTGAACGTTAACGGCTTGTGAAGAGCAGCATTACAGAAAACTACTGACAAGCAGCAGCACAATCACACAACATCTTCAATTACACATGGATAGAGACTAAGCAGAGGTTCGGTTTACTTCCACACACACACACACACACACACAGAGTAAAAAAACACTAACAACAGAAAAACACATTCATGATACAAAGTCATCGGCACACGTCAGATACAGAATGAAGTTGAGCTCACCACATGCCTCCGCAGCACAAACACGTCTGCCTCCGCTGCAGTCTGTCTCTAACTAACGCTGCTCTGTCAGCGCTCAGACAGTCTCTCTGACTCTGATGACGTCACAAGGCCATCCCAGAGACAACGCTGACATGCTTTATTCTCATCTGGAATCCTTATCTACTGTTGGCACACGTGCATGTGTACACACACACACACACACACACACACACACACACACACACACACACACAGACAGTGTGTTTTACATTGAACCAGCAGTCATGCATATGTTTCGCTGCTACAACAGCTAAAATTAATGCTGCCTTCATGTGCTGTCGGAGTTATCATAAATACGAGTTTCGGAAATAGGGAAACTCTGAGATAATTTTGATACTCGAGTTTACGAGTTGGGAAGCCATAAACTTTAAACATGGTGGAGCAGAGAAATTTTTATATATATAATTAACTATTTAATGCAAATTATATGTATTTTACACAATTACAACAGCATTTATTTGACCAAAATAATTTGGGCGGGGGGGTTAGGGTTGTGCCCGAAGCGTGAAACAAATAACATCATAACATGTCAGCTTAACATCGTGATGTCCGTCAGCCATCGGCGATGGACGATGCCCAACCCTACTCTCAAATGCTTCGTACCGCATCAAGCCTTCAGTCCCGCAGGCTGTGACGACCACACCATCTCACACATTCTCCAAACCACGTGTCGTCTGTAGGGTCGTGGTGTTTTCTTTTCATCTTGCCTCTGAGCAATGCATATTAAAGAAGTGTTCATAAGCGCAGCCCTGCTTTGTTGGCAGCGGTAACCAAGGAAACACTGTATCATTGCTGTTCATGAGCGCCACCTGCTGGCAGAGAGTGTGTCTCATTCAGACCTGCTGTTTTTGTTTCGTGCAGATGTTTTATGTAGCAAATAAATAAATAACACCTAAAGTCAGACCATTCTGTTTTTGTTTTAAATCCTGAAATTAATCTAAATCAAATAAAAAACAACGGCCCGTGCAGATCATGATTAAAATGCAGCGGTTGCCTCTAATTTCAAA